CTGTGGCATGGGAATGGAGTCATCATCAGAGAATATGGTATTTAGTTGGCCCTTCTCAGGGAGCCAGCAGTATTGCTAGACTGCCAGTTTCCCGAGGGCAAGGGCCACATCTACTCTGACCACCTCATTTTCCTACCGGCTAGAGCACTGCTGTTCTAGACCTAGTGAGACTCACTCAGTTTGTGTCTGACTCTCTGCAACCCCGTGGACTATACAGTCCATGAAATTCTCCAGGCCAGAATACTTGAGTGGGTAGTTGTTCCCTTCTCCAGGGGATCTTCCCAACCCAGGGATTGAACCCAGGTCTCCCACATTGCAGGTGGATTCTTTACCAGCTGAGATACCAGGGAAGCCCAAGAATACTGGAGTGGGTAGCCTATCCCTTTTCCAGTGGATCTTCCCGACCCAGGAATCAAATCGGGGTCTCCTGCATTGCAGGCAGATTCTTTACCAGCTGATGGGTACCCAGCTTCCAGTACCCAGGAAGCCCTAGGTACTTAGTTGAGTAAATGACTGTATTTTGAACTGTTCCCTGTCTTCCAGGAGATTGCCACCTGCTCTGGGACAGCATCTTTAGAAAAGCAAATAAGTGAAAACTTGAGAGTTTAAGTTCACCAATAAATGAGCTCTGAACTGAGCACAGGCAGCGGAAGGACGGGGACCTGTGAAGCCAGACTTGGGTTTGTACTCCAGCTCTGCTGATCATTAACTTGCTGCCTTTGAGCAAGTTGCTTTTGGCTGAGCCTCAGTCTTCTTCCTGGGAAAATGGGTGTCAATATCTTAGAGCTATTGTGAGAGTTAAAGAAGAGTGTATATGGGAACCTGGCCAGCTTGGAAAGCCAATGGTCTTGTGTCATTCAGTCTCTCTAAAGCACCTCTTCTTTGATTGCCACCACCTCCTGTAGTTTGGTCCAAGCCTCGCCTCCCCTCTTAGACCTTCGCTCATCAGCCTTGGTCTCCCCTCCCTCCCCTGACAAGGATGGGCTCCACCTGACACCCAGCACCCTTGGCCAGCAGCTGTTTAAGCCAGCGTGACCAGCCGTGCACAAAGAAAGCAGACGGAGTGGGAGCTCTACATGGAGTCTCCGCCTTAAGCTTTCAGTGTCTTTTTCATTAAATATTCTTTAACTTTTCATTTTGAAATAATTGCAGACTTGCAAAAAAAAATTGCAAAAATAATACCAAGACTTCCCATATGCCCTTTACCCAAGCTTCCTTAAATGTTAACATCTTATATAACCAAACCATTTTCGAAACCAGGGAGAGCACACTCTACCATCCTGTTAACTAATCTACAGTTCCTATTCAAGCGCCATCAGTGGTCCCCCTGACGTCCTTCTTCTGACCCAGGACGTTCTGTGGGATTTAGTTGTCAAGTCCCTTTGGTCTCCAGCCTCTGACAGTTCCCTCACTGGCCTTCATGTCCTTGATACTTTAGACAGATGCTGCTGACCAGTCATTTTGCATCGTGACCCTGAGTTTCGATTTGTTTGACGTCTTCTTGTAATTCATCTACAGTTGTGCATTTTGAGCAAGTTCCCCATGGGTGGGATGGGGTGCCCTCCCCAGTACGTCATATCAGGAGGCACGTGACGTGTCTGCTTACTGGTGACACTCATTTTGGTCACTTGATGAAGATGATGTCTGCTGAGTTTCTCCTGTCAAGTTACTCTTTTCCCCTCGATGATTAATAAAGATTTTGTGGGGGAGGTACTTAGAAGGTATGTAAGTATCTTGTTCCTCATCAGACTTTTGATTTACTTATTTCTTTACATCTGTGTAGATTTGTGGCTTGCTATTTTATCTAATGGGTCATCGCATTTTACTGCTAACATTGCCCCTTCTTTGGCCAGTGGGAGCCCCTTTAAGCTGGCTTCTTTTTTTTTTAATTAATCTATTTTAATTGGAGGCTAATTACTTTACAATATTCTAGGGGTTTTGCCTAAGCTGGCTTCTTATCCTTTTATTGCATCTCATCATTCTTTTTTGCTTTCTGACATAAGAAGATACTCCCAAGTTCATCTTGCATTTTCCCTACCCAAATCAGCCGTTTCTCCAAAGAGCTGATTCCTTTTGGTAAAGAATGATATTTAGAAACCAAGATTTGAGGACTTGATGTGCTCACTGCTACCTGGCTGTCACTTGTCGCTGTTTCTGTACCCTCTCTACAGAATGAGCTAAGAAAAAACACATATGTAATGTATATATACACATGGATAGTTCTTTATTTGTGTATGCTGAAAACCATAAATTCATAGCAGTACCTTCATTTCCATTCTGACACCGCAGGGTTTATTCTACCTTTTTCTCCATATGTTATGTCCCTTCCCCAACAGCAAGCCCCCTGGCCCCCGTTGTCCTTACTGTATGTATAAACTTGATCAGCTCCCCCATATGTAACCATCTTCCATCTCTCTCACCCTTCTCTGGTTCTGACACTCTGCTCTAGACTACCTCCACCTCCTCACCCTGAGTGGTCTCTGCCTTCCCATAAAACTCCCAGTTTCTTTTTTTTTTAGTTCTACCATTTTATTGCTACCAACCCATCTCCCTCCACCCTCATGCTTGGTCATGTAACCCCATGGACTGCAGCCCGCCAGGCTCCTCTGTCCATGGACTTTTCCAGGCAAGAATACTGGAGTGGGTTGCCATTTCCTTCTCCAAAACTCCCAGTTTTGAAATGGTAGCTCATATATTATTTAAACCACGAGGCCCGGTTTCTGACTGTGCCCTGGCATTAACTGGGCCAGGAAGCTGGCTGGTAAGGCCCTCCTGCCTCTCCGGCATCCACTTCCTCCATTCCCGCCCCCCCACTACATGCAGGTGAGCTCAGCCCTTCAACACACCAGAGTCTGTCCTCTTCTCGGCCTCTGCTCTTGCTATGATCATGGCCTGGACCGGCACCTGTGCTTTTCTCCCACCCTCCAGCTGTGTTCAGACTTCACTTCTTGCAGGAAGCTTCACGGTTGCCCCGGGTGCCCTTTGCGGGCTCCTCCACCCTGTGATGCAGCGCCGCTGCGTTCTCCTTTTCTGCCCTCCTTTGCTCTGCTGCTTAACTGTAGGTGCACGGGGCCAAGGGCCGGTTTTATCTCCCGTCCCCAGCACGTGAAGGAGGGCTCGCGCACAGTAGGTGTTCGTGAGTGTGTGTCAAAGAAGCCTTCATCATGGTAACAGCAAAGTCATAGAGCACTTCCAGATCCCAGGCGCGCTCTAAACGCTCCATGTTACGCACCGAGTCGTTTGGTCCCAGGCCCTGTGCTGTGAGATGGTTGCTGTTGTCCCTGTTTGCAGACAAGGGAACTAGGGCGCAGGGAGGTGAGGCACCCAGGGTCACACAGTCGTAGGGTCACATTGGAGCCCAGGCAGGCTCGCTCCCCAGTGCGTGCTCTCTCCCCTCTAACCTGCCTCCCACAAGTAGGGGGCAGCGTTTTCAGAATTAGGGAGATGACAGTTGGGCCACGTGAGGCCCCAGTTTTTAGTGCCCTCTGGGGCCTACGCACCAGCGACTGGTGGCTGAGCAAGCAGGAGACAAAGTGATACCTTTTAGCTCTGTAGCCTGCAGGGGTGTTTTCTCCCTCTGAAGTGAAGTGACGTGAAGTCGCTCAGTCGTGTCCGACTCTTTGCGACACCGTGGACTATGGCTTACCAGGCTCCCCCGTCCATGGGGTTTTCCAGGCCAGAATACTGGAGTGGTTTGCCATTGCCTTCTCCAGGGGACCTTCCCGACCCAGGGATGGAACCTGGGTCTCCCGCATTGCAGGCAGACGCTTTACCATCTGAGCCCCCAGGGAAGTCCTTTCTCCCTCGAGGTCTTGGGAAACCAAGCACCTTTCACGTGTAATTAGAGTGAGCGCCCAGGAGTCAAGTGTGCGGTCTTAGGCAAGATTTCTAAGTCATTGCACTGGGATTGGCAGGGCACTAAGCTTGTTTCCCAATCACCCAAGAGGAACCATCTGGCAGCCCATCAGCCCGTCAGCCCCGGGGGATGGAGCAGCCAGCCTCTCCCCGCAGAAGCGGGGGAAACTAAGTGCCGGAGCACACTCCCTGGGAGCGCTGCGTGTCAGCGCCTCCGCAGACTTTCCTTCCCTTATTCCTCTCGGTGGCCGAGCGGGGTCTCCTGGTCGCAGCCCCATTTTTACAGAAAAGGAAACTGAGGCTCAGAGAGCTGACACCATTTGCTTGACGTCACATAGCAAGGAAGAAGACCAGCCAAGATTTGAAACCAGGGCACCTCTGATTCTAGGGCCTGAACTCTTAAAAACAACTGGCCGTGTCTCCCTGACTCTAGAGTCCCCAGAGTTTCACCCCCCCCCCAACTCCTGTCTGCTCTGGTGGGATCCCTATGAAAGAAAGGCACGTGCTCTGCCTCTGGGCAGAAACCCACAGTTGCGGGAGCCAGCGTTATCACGAGCTGATGTCGGCCCCGGGCAGGATTTTCTGTTAACCTCCTGCCTTGGAGTTCAGGAGACTCTACCAGAAGGCCACAGGAGCCCGGGAAGGGGGGAGTGGAAACAGGAGGAGGTGGAGGCAGGAAGGGGAAGAGGGGGCGGAGAAGTGACGCCAGGCGAGAAGGCAGTGCCGTCAGAGAACGCAGGAAAGACTGCATTCCCTGTTCCCTGGGCGTCAGCACTGGGGCTCAGTTCATTCCCCGGCGCTTCTGAGGACGTGCTGTGCCCCAGGCCCAGGCAAGAGAGAGGCCGGGGTGCAGCTGGGACAACACGGAAAGAGTCCCGGCCCTGGCGGGGGGCACACTCTGATGGGGGCAAGACCAGCCAAGAGCCATAGCCGTGTGAGGGGGCCCGGCCGTCCTCCTGGGGCTGATAAGTTGAGACGAGGGAGGTGAGGGGGCCGGGGGGTCCTTCAGGCCTCTTGGAGGAGCTGGTTCTGGGAAGGACGGCCGCCGCTGCCCTGTGGGGGACCCCAGCCAGCACTGCTCCCCCCACTGCCTGGCGCCTGTGTGCCCTGCGCCCACCTCACCCCGTCCGCTTTGCTCTCCGCAGGTTTGACATCTATAGGAAGGTGCCCAAGGACCTCACACAGCCGACGTACACCGGGGCCATCAGTGAGTAGCCCCTTCGCACCCCCATCCTGCCTGTGCCCACCCACCCTCTGCAGAAATGCTGGGCCGGGGAGGGGAGACGGGGGGACAGGCAGACGGAAGACAGGATGGGCATCTTGCCGGGCCCTGTACCTAGTCAGTGCTTCAGCCCAGCCGTGTCCTCACTGTAACCCCACAAAGCATAGCATCACCTGTTTCTGGAAGGAGACACCAGAAATCATCAAGGGTAGCTGCCCCCGGGAGGGGAAGTGGGGCCTGGGGGTTGGAGGAAGACCGACTTTTCTCTCCACACCTTTTGGACTATGTGAGGTTTTGATCTAAAGATGTTTCTATCCCTTTTAAAAAAGTAATAATCTCTCACAGATTTTGGTTTCTGATTGCCCGTCTTCACTAAAAGGATCCAGGCTCCTGGGAGAAATGGCTGAGAGCAGGGCTGGGGCAAGAGGTGTACACAATAAACCTGGACTCCTTGTGTAGGAAAGCAAAAAAGTGCACAGGGGGAAAAAAGGGTGGGGGCATGTCGCCAGGCCCCAGGAGCCAACCTGAAAGATGGCACTCCCCGACCTGGGCAGTCTGAGTAACACAGTCAATAGTGGTGTGGACTTCCCTGCTGATCCAGGGGTTAAGAATCTGCCTGCCAAAGCGGGGGACACGGGCTCGATGCCTGGTCTGGGATAATTCCGCATGCCACGGAGCAACCAAGCCCATGCACCTCAACTGCAGAGCCCGCGAGCCAGAGCTAAAGAGAAGGCACCGCATTGAGAAGCCTTTGCACTGCAACTAGAGAGTTGCCACCACTCCTTGCAACGAGAGAAAGCCTGCGTGCAACAATGAAGACCCAGCATAGCCATAAATAAAGGAAATAAAAATGATAACACTGTTGGCTTATTATCAAGGAATTAAGAAAAATGTCCATGAGTCTGGAGTGATCTAAATAATGGGGGAGAAAGGATGGATCTTCCTTATAGAGGAATTCTAAATGATATATATGAGTATATCCCCTTCCGCGAGGTACAAATCAACTCTCCTCTCCTGGAGTGTGGGCTGGTGACGTGCTATTAAAGAGGGCAGAATGGAAAGGAAATAGTGACTGTGATGGAGACATCCAGAAGTGGCCCCAGGATTGAGTAACAAAGGTTAGCATCAGCCAGTGAGAGAGCAGTCACGTGGATGCCATCCATCCCGCCCTGACCGTGGGGTATGACGGGAAGAGCAGCTCACCTCCATGGGATCCTCCGCCTAAACCACAACCAGGTGCAGTCACGGGAACGTAGCAAACCCCTCCCCCAATCCAGCCTGGGGGACCCTCTGCAGGGCACCTGGCCGGCACTCTTCAAAAGTGGCAAGGTCTTGAGAACCAAGAAAAGACTTGAGGAACCGTCACAGATTCGAGACTGACACAATGATGAATGGCAAAATGGGATCCCAGGCCTGGTCCTGGAACAGAAAATGGGCACCAGTGGGGAAATCAATGATCTAATAAATCTGTAGCTTAGTCAGCGGTTGTACAGTGTTAATTTCTTCAATTTGACCAACATACCAGCGTTATATAAGGTGTTAACAAAGGGGAACTGAATGAAGAGTGTATGGGAACTGCCTGTGCTATTTTTGTGTTCTGTTATTATTTTGCGATAAAGTTTATTTTAAATAAAAACAAACCAAAATCAGCTTGCAAGCAGCAATGCTCTACCCACGTTTTCCCAATGAGAAAATGGACTCAGAGAAGTGAAGCGACTTGTCTGAAGTTTCACAACTTGCAAGAGGTGGGCCCCTCTTTACCCACCCTGACCTCTCCAGCTCTTGGTGTGGGAGAGGGACCCTCCCCATGGCCAGCCCCCTGAGCTGCCCTCCCAGGGCAGGCTGCTGTCAGGTCGGCGATGACCTAGGGGACTCCCTGCAGCCCGGCCGGCCCTGCCTTGCTCTCCCTCCCGCCAGCTTCGGTCATCCAAGCTCCAGGTGCCTTCTGGAGCCTGGACGTCCCCGTGCCTGGAGAAGAGGACAGAGCAGTCTGGCAGCAGGCTTCGGGTCTGGCAGAGCTGGGCTCATCCTCCCGTTTAGCAGATGGGTGACCTTGGGAAAGTCGGTGCACCCTCTGAGCCTCAGTTTCCTGATCTGAGGATTAAATGTGACCACACCTGTCAAGCGTAGGACACAGCCAAACCCTCCGCGCTTGGAACACAGGCCTGTTCTCATTACTGTCTTCCTGGAGCCTGTGACCCATGAGGATCGGTGACTGCAGGAGCTGTGGCACTTTGTGCCTTTATCCTCAAGGAAAAGGTACTGGGGGACATGAAGAAAGGGGCTTGTTCATCTATCCATTCAATTAATTTGTGAACCTTGGTCACAAAATTCCAATGAGGTTTCCTGTCTTCTTCCTATAAGCAACCAAGAGCTCAGACCATTTCTTTGCAGGCTCTGCAGTCCTCTCCCTTGTCAAGTATGTTTAGCAATCAGGTCTGTGTCCTAGAATTAGAAAACAAAAACAAAAACATATTCAGGCTTTGAAATATCTGCACCGTCGTCTCACCCACTCTCTCCGAGCGGAGCGTCTAGACACGCCACCCCCCCTGCCCTTTGCCGGCTGCCGCCCTGCCACCCCCCCTGCCCTTTGCCGGCTGCCGCCCTGCCACCCCCCCTGCCCTTTGCCGGCTGCCGCCCTGCACGCCTTTCAGGCCAGCCTGTCGGCGGCCAGCACGCGCTTTTTGCCAGCTGTGCTGTGTTCCGGCATCCACCGCCCCACCGTTTACGTAACAGCCTCCTGAGGGTGGCCGTTCTGACCCCAGCCTATTGCTGTCACAGACAGCCTTGTCCATATGTTTTTGTATCCTTGTATGGTTATTTCTGTAAGGCGACCTTCCTAGAAGAGGAATTGCCGGGTCACAGGACATGTGCATTGTAAAATAGAGAAGGTACTGCCAAATGACCCTCCGGGGACGTGGCCTGCTCTGCAGGCTGGAGCGCAGTGTGCAAGAGGGCAAGTTTCCTTGCATGGGAGGAAAGGCGTGAGCGTGGGAAGCCAGCCCTCACCGGCCATTGAGTGAGCAAACATTTACCCACCAGGTCTGGGGCCAGGCCCTGTGCCAAGTCCCGGGACCACACTGATGAATGGGCTTCGGTCATTGTTCTGGAAGAGCGCGTGGCTGAGCAGGAGGGCAGGCACAGAAACACACCATTTCCTGACGCCACTCAGTGCTATTAATAACCGAAGGCAGCAGCAAGGGTGCTGGACACTCAGAGGTCGAGGTTTGAGTTTTGCCTCGGCCGTGTGGCCTTGAACAAATCCCTCAACTTGCCACTGTCTGGGGTCTTGGGTCCAGTGCCCCCTTTGCTGGTTCCACCGGGTCTCCCAGGAGTGAGCATCCGCCTGGGGTCACATTCCTACTGTCCCGTGCCTGAGTCAGTTTCAGAAGAAGTCTGGAGTCGGAGTGCCTGAGCATCTTGCCCAAACATGGATTGAAAAACCCTTCAGTATCAGAAGGCTTTTCTGGTGGAAATGCTTCCTACCTGTCTCCATGTTTTTCACTCATTCGCTCACTCGTTTAGATATTTACTTCCTGCCTTCTCTGAGCCAGGCGCTATGCTGAGCCCCGAGGCCCCAGTGGTGCTGAGCTGTTGTCTGTCCTGCCAGTCTGGAAACTGTACTGACAGGGGACCCTCAGCCTGGGCTGCTGGATGCTGGGGTTCAGCTGAACAAACTCTGCACTCACCCCCTTGCTGGGTCCAAGCCTGGGCCATCTGCAGGCTTGGGGCAAGGAAGGCAGCTAGAAAATTTGGATTCATCTAAGGCGGCATTGACCTTCAAAATCACCTCCCAAGTCTGTGCCTGTTCATCATTATAGCAACCAGTTGTCTTCTGGGGCTTGAAGGTGGGATGGAAGGGGTGAAAATGACTGAAACGTGAGCCAGAAAAGGTGCGAGATTGCAGGTGAAGGGTGCTTTGCCCTGCTGGCTGGGTGTTTTTTTGTTTTTTTCTTTTTATATCAGGAGGCATCATAGCTGCAGTGGCTTATTTGCAGGCAAGAAGGGGAGGGCTGTGAGTCTGGGAAATTTGGATTGCCAGCTGGTGTTCTGCAGTGGATTTGTTCAGCAGCTGGAGAAGACATTTGACGTTAATTTCTATGCCATGAAAAACAAGCCACGTGGCCACTCTGTATAAGCTGATGTGACTCCTGCCTGGATGTAGATTGCTGCATGCGCAAAGCATGTGGACATTGTGCTCTTTGCTTAGAGGAGAAACTCAGATGCTCGTGGCAGGACGCAGGACTGTAAGGGCAGCACCTCTGGGCAGGGGCTGTGGGTCGGGAGTGAGAAGGAGACTCACACGGTGTGCCTTTTTATGCAGATTGATGGTTTTTCTTGCCCCGGGTCTGGGTGTGGGTCTGGGGCTTGGTGGGCACTCTGGGGTGTCCCTGTGCCATCCTGCTCTTGGGGTCTGAGATCTCAGGGTCCTTTTCTTAAGGCACTGGCTCCAGAACGGTCAGGTTTCAGCCCCCCACACTGCCCCTGCCTGCCACCCAGTGTGTTCGGGGTTAGAGTCTTCCCCTCTCTGAGCCTTCCTTTTTACACCCTCTGCGAGGGCTTGCTCCCTCTGTCACATGGCAGCGTGACGTGATACGTGTCTGTTAACATTCCCACAACACGACATGTGTTAGGGGCCCCTCAGACACTTGTTCTCCGCCTTCTTCCCTCCGAACACATCTTTGCCTGTTCGTTTTGCCATGAACAGATGATGCAGTAATAATGATGCTTCTGATGATTAACGCCTGGCTTCAGCATCCATCAGGATGGCTTGGTCCACCCGGTGCTGGCTGTCGAGAATGTCGTAGGTGGGACTGACTGAGAACTTTTTTCCTTAGTGGGAAACTGAGGGTCAATCCATTTGTCAGATCACCTTCCTGAAAGCAGCAAACCCACCAGGGTCTCCCTGATGAAGATCCTAAAATGAGCTACTGCTTGCACCGTTATCACCTGCCAGGCACCGTTTGAAGCCGTGTCTGTGTTGTGGAAATTCTCAAGCAGTCCCGTAAGGCAGGTGTTACTGCCGGTGCCGTTTTGCAGATGAAGAAACAAGCGAGAGAGGTTGAGTAACTTGCCCAGAGACACACAGCACGTGAGTAGCAGGTGCACTATGAGAGCCCTTGCCCATGACACGTCTCTGTGATTTACCCCGATGAGGCGCGCTGAGCCCGCGTTCTGTATTTCGGGGGCTGGCTCCCTGCCTTCCACAAAACCTGTTATCACCTTCTGTGCACCCAATCCCAGGCCAGACACTGGAGTTGTGGAGTTTTTGCCTTCCGAGTTATCAAACGAGTGAGAGGCAGGGCTGCGGATAATCAGTACCATGTGGAAGGTGTTCACATGGAGGCTGGTAGCACAGAGGAAGGAGGGACCAGTTCCACCTCCAAGGGCTGGAGGAGCTTCCCACCAGAAGGGACGTTGAGCTGGGCTTCAGCCTGAGAGGGTGAGCAGGAGTTCACCTGGCAGAGATGGTGACCAGGGAGGAGGACTGAAGACGGGGAGGCCCCTTCCAGACAGAGGGCGCTCACATTTAGGGACCAGCGCACGGCCCGGCGGCGCTGTTGGGAGGTGGGGCTGGAGAAGAACTGAGGGCCAGCCCCGGGGGTGCTTGTTAGGTCCTGCCCCAAGGAGTGACCGCAGGGTCACACATCCCAGCCTCGCCCGGGAGCCAGGCAGGCGAGACACACATGAGTGACGTGGGACGACCCTGGCGCTCCATCCCACCCACTGCGTTTCAGGCTCGTAGGACCCTCAGTCACCCCCACGAGAGCCTTCTCTGGAAGCATGGCTCTGGGTGTCGTCAGTTCTCACCTCTGATGGGGACACGGGCCCGTTGATGAGCCCACAGCAGGCGGGGAGAGATGGCAGTGGACACCCCGCCTCAGCCTTGGAATCTGGGTGGCAGGAGGGAATGCTGAGGCCTGAGGCAAACTGGTGAGCTCAGACCACCCCCTCGTGGAAACAGAGCTCGATTGTTCTGCAACGGCCAGAAATCTGGACTCTAATGTGACATCTCCACATTATTCGATGTCAAGGCCAAGGTTTTTTCTTGGTTTGCTGTTATTTTGGCTGCGCTGGGTCGTCACTGGGGCGCACAGGCTTTCCCCTGTTACAGTGTGTGGGCTTCGTTTTCCCACGTCACATGAGATCTTAGATCCTGGACCAGCGATCGAACATGCATCCCCTGCATCGGAAGGTGGATTCTTTACCACTGAACCACCAGGGAAGTCCCTCCAAGTGTTAATATGTATATCCGTTGAGCGGAACAGAACACATCTGTGGGCCACTGATTTGCAGCTGTCATTTTGTAACTGATGTCTGTGTTAAAATGTTCTTGTGGAAAGAAGCTGGGCTGGCCCCTCCGAGGACTGGCACTGGCCCTTGGCCCATAGGAAACCAGGCTGCACTGCAGGAAGGAAGCGGCGGGTGAGGATGGAAGCGCCATCCGCCGCTCCCCATCTCTTGCATTACTGCCTGACTCCTCTCTCCACTCCCACCCGTCCCCCTCCACGGAAAAACTGTCTTCCATGGAATCAGTCCCTGGCTCCGGAAAGGTCGGGGGCCGCTGCCTTGGAAGATCTGCCCAAACCGGGGGCTCTGTCCCCACGGGAGGGTCAGATCAGCCGGAGGTGGCCTCCCTTTGTGGGAGGGGGGCTGCCTCGTGTGCGGGCCAAGAGGGGGAAGGGGCTCTGGGGGGACCTGTGGGCCTCTGTCCCCCTCCCTGTAGGCAGCTTCTGTCTGCGGACGGGTGGGCCCCTCCTGCCGGCGCCCAGCACCGCTTAACTGGGCGTCTGTGTCGTTTCTTTCAGTCTCCATCTGCTGCTGCCTCTTCATCCTCTTCCTCTTCCTCTCGGAGCTCACCGGATTCATAACCACAGAAATGTAAGTTATATCCCCCCGGGGTGGGGGCCGTTCCAGAGGTCCCGGGGACCCCAGACAAGAAGAGGGAGGGGCTTGACAAAGGAGAGAAACCTCCGAACCTTCCGCCTCCTGGTGTGAAAGCCTGTGGCATCAGTTCCTCCTCTGTTTCCTAAAGAGTTTTAAAGCCAGAGCGAAAACTAATGTCGCTTTGTTGAAGCCGAAGAGAAAACTTTGGTCCCCTTCTGGGGTCCGGATGGCGCCTCCTGGGTCCGCAGAGGAGCAGAAATCATTTGCTCATGTTTGCCGTCTCTGCGTTTGGCCAGTGGGCTTTTTTCCCTCTGAGTCATCACAGGGTCATTTGATGTTAGAGCTGGAAGAATTCAGAGGAAAAAAAGAGGGCAGCTCTCTACCCACATGGAGGCAAGGCTCTGACATCAGAGGGCAGCCCCTCCACCACGTCCCCTCCCCTGTCCTGAGCCCACACTGCGTGAGGAGTCCGCGTGGGCTTCCTGGCAGTGATTGACGCATTGTGAATGCATCCCAGATTCCTAGAATCATCTGTTGTCTAGATAACCCAGTAAATCCTCTGGGGCCTGTGTAACATCGAATGCCACTGGAATTATTCAGTCACGGCCTCATCAGATGCCCCTCCAAGATGAATTAGACCCAGAAGCTTCCTGCCTTCACCTCTGGCTTCCAGACCTCTTCATTTCCATGTTTACAACCCAGAAAGTCATCACGGGGCTGGGCTGTGGCCACCCACTCTCCTGTCCAACACTGGAATTCTCTTTTTCACTCATGGAATCTCTTGGTGTCCTGTACCTCCCCGTCAGCCACAAGACAGTAGGAGACGGGGAAGCATAGCTGCACAGCCCAGGATGGTCCTTGGTGCAGCCGTCCCCGCTGTTCATCTGCAGACATCCCCTCGTCTTTACAGACGAGGAAACTGAGCCTCAGAGAGGCAAGGGGACCTGCCCACGTCCCGCCTCTCCCCCCACCCCTCCGCCACAACTCGCTTCTGAATATAGCTTTCTGCCCTCCTCTGATGTGGGAGACTTTGTCTTCCTTGTTCCTCTTATCCTGTTTGTAGCCCTGATGGCACCACAGCCCCAGGGGCCACATGGAGCAGTGGAAAGACTGGACGAGGCCGTGGGAGATCCAGGGTCAGGCCAGCTACTCTGTGATGCTGGACAAGGTGCCACCCCTCTCTGGGTCCCGGTGTTGCTGGCCCAACAAGGGAGGGCACACCAGAATCCAGGCACCCTTCCAGGCCCAAGGAGGCTCGTCTCCTTCCTAAGACACGCTCCTTGACCAGGCAGGGGTCAGACAGAGCACCTTGTTCCCCCCAGAACGGACTCCGTCCTAGTCAAGTGTGTATATTTGGGCCACTGGATATTTCATGGGTCATCCCATCATGATTTGGAGGTAGAAGCAGGGAGAGCAGCCAGAAATTGAGACCTGCTGGCATTATGAAGGACCTACTGTGTGCCAGGCACACCCCATTCCCTGGGAGGGGGGCTGCTGTGCAGACTACTCATGTTCTAGATGAGGTGAGAAGGGGTCCCCGCATGGCAGCTGTGAGGAGGCAGCCCTGACCGTGTCCCAGGTACCAGGTGCAAGGCTTTAGGTATTCTAGGCAGGGACACTGGCAAGTGCAAAGGCCCTGAGGCAGAGGTTACCCAGTGTGCGTATAGAGAGCGGGTGTGTATAGAGCAAAGTGAGTGAAAGGGAGAGCAGAACGTGGGGCAGGTGGCCGCTGTGCACTGCTGTAGATCAGTGCGGATCACCCTTGGTCCTGACCCTGGAAGTCTGGGGTGAGGTCTGCCTGGCTCACTCCTGTGTGGCTGCATGCTCAAGAGGAGCCAAAGTTGCAGGCAGTGGATACAGACGGTCAAGAGGCAAAAAAAAATGGAATGTGTCAGTCAGTGATAAGGGCTCTGAAGAAAAAGCAGGATGGGAGATAAGGAAGGTATGTGGTGTTTCATGAGATTTTAGCAAGATTATTTACCTACAAGGAGCTTAATATAGTGCCTTATGTACTTTAATATCAGTAGATGCATATCCCTTCAGACATTTACTCATTTCATGTTTCTTCCCTGTGTAACAGAAAAAAGCAGTGTGTGTACGGAGTGCTTGTGAGTGTTCTTTGTCCCTTCCCTTGAGTTAAGAACGGGCCTCCCGCGCCTTCTGCCGACATCCTGAGGGGCAGTTCCTTCAGCTGATCGTCCGCTTCGCCCGTAGTGAGGTGGGGTGCCCAGCAGGTGCGTTTGGGCATCAGAGCCGGTGACTTCGGCAGGAGGAGCCTGCGGCCGTGCGCACGCTGGCCAGCTCGCCCGCTTACCGGGGCGGGGCCCGCCTTCCCCTGGAGCACGGTGTGTCCCCACCACTCTGGCCCGGTCCCCTTTCCGGGTGGCTCCTGGGGGCATTCTGGACACTCTGGCCCCGCCACGTGCCTGGACAGGAGGAAACATGAGGGGTGAGGGGCGGAATCTAAACACGAGGGGCCATTCACTCAGTGCTTGCCTTGCATCCAGCTCTGGGCTAACGAGCACTGCCCCGCGGGGAGAGAGGGAGGGCAGGGGCGCGAGGGGAGAGGCCTGTTGGGGCCAGAGGCTCCATCCATGATGACGTGATGACCCTAGTGCTCCCTTTCTCTCTGCCGGCTCGTGCCCAAGGAGCAGGAGCTGCCCAGAGGGCGTTCTCAGGGGCGAGGACTCCACGGGACATTCCAGAGGAGTAGGAGCTGTGCCTTGCGGTCCTTCCTCTCTCAGAAGCTTCTTTGGCTGCCCTGGCCCCCAGGAAGCCCTGCTGGTCCAGAAAGGACTAGGGGTCACAGTTCTTTTCCTTTGCGGGATGGCTGGCCCTCCCTGGCGGCTTGGTGACCACAGCGGACAGCCTCCCCATTCCCCACTATGAAATTGCAACCCAAGGAGATGAGGTCACCGCTGGTGGATCAACATCACTCCAGCACTGGCCTGTGGTTATCAGTGACATAAGAGGCTATTCTGGCCCAGCCCGCTGGAGAGGGAGACCTGTTTGCGTGGTTGGACTTTGACCCGGCCATTAATTATCCGTGGGAAAGTGGCCCTGCGGGGTGCCCAGAGGCTCCGTGTTCCAGGGGAATGGCACCACGTCCTCAGAGGACACGGCCACAGTACATTCCAGCCTTTGACTGCCCAGGCTCTGTCTCCTCTCAATTATTAACTGATGAGGATTTATAATTTAAAAAATGTGGTCACTGGATCTCTCCATTGATCTTTTATAGCTTAATACAACTCATCATACTTTCCAGTTTTGATTTATAGTGGGTGACCGTGTGCTGGCCACTTAAGTCAGCACTTTACAATGCTCATCTCTCTTCGTGGTCACAGAACCCCTGGCGCCAAGTACAGCTGTTGGCATCAGTCTCACTTTATAGCTGGGGAAACTGAGGCACCAGGAGGCTAAAACCATAGCGAGGTTGGTTAGTGAGCAGTCTGAGCAAGAACCGGTCCAGGCCTGTCTGAGGGCAAAGCCTAGACTTGGTACCAGGCCCCCGTATCCTGCTCTTTTCTGTTCAGAGCATTTTGGAGCCCTAGGGACATGGGAACTCCTGTTTTTTGGTAGGAATAGTTCCCTGAGAGACTTGCATCCTCCATTCTAGGGGCAAGGTGACTGCACAGGCAGGCGGCCCTTGCCCACCGAGTTGGAACTTGGGCATTCCCCTGAATTGGGCATTATCCTCACACGCAGGCCCCTAGTGGGGTGGCCAGTAGCTTAGCCAGGAGGAGGGGCTGGATTGCTCCCTAGGAGCCCAGGTTACCCACTCTGAGGTCTGGATTGGGAGCCCAAGCTGGGTAGAGAGCCATGGTCGCCCCTTGGAGGAGCAGCAGGAGGCCTGAAAGCTTCTGAGCAGAACGATGGGATCAGGTTTGTGCCTTGGAAAGATCACCTCTTGCAAAGATGGGTGTGGGACGAGGTGAGCCTGGAGGCCAAGGCCTGTTAAGAGGGGCTGAATGATGACCCAGGACAGAGGGGCTGAGGGTCCCAGGGCGGTGGCTATGGGGAAAGGGGCGGGGGCAGGACTAGGTGGCTGGAAAAAGATGCTTTCTGGACATCCGCCTAGTAGGTCATAGTTGGACTTGCCCCTGGAACTGTCAGGATTTCAAACTCAGGGTCCCAGAGAGCTTGCCTGCCTAACCTCATCCCTCTCCTACCACTCCCACCCCAGGCCCTTACCGCGAGCCTCACTGCTGTGTAAGTTTCCATTAAGTCAAATGATTAAGCATGGAGGTCAGTGACTTTGGGCAGGAATCCGAAGTATTCAAGTACTTTTCTAAAAGCAAATAAAATTGTTTTCCGTAGATGTCATCGGACTCACGCCTCAGCCTAGGATTTCAAGTCCCTCTGTTAACATTCCACTTACCCTCCCCTGCCCATACCTCCCCAATCCCTCTTTTTCCTCTCTCCCTACGTGGCTGCTGCTCACTGACTGACCCCCATGCTGTCTGGCGTCCCCCACCTGGAGTGTGCCTCACCCCAGCAGAGGTCGTGAGCATGCGCTTTCTGCTGCCGGTTCAGGGAGCCCTTGTCTGGGCTGGGGGCTGGGGGCGGGGAGCAGATGCTGAAGCCCACCAAGGGGCGAAGGGAGCGATGACAAAGGGCGGGGCAGAAGGGAGTGGACCCCTTACCCCTCCACACCCGGGAGGTGCTTGGCCAGGGGTGGGGTGAGGTGGGCTGGGCGTCTGGAGTTCATCAGAAAGATGGTGGCCGCTGCATCACAGGCCTCCGTGGGAGCCTCTCGGTCTTTCATTGATCCGTCTCATCCAGTGGAATGCGGTAGAAAGAACATGGCTCTGGGCACTGGTGGCTCCGGCTTCAGATTCTGCCTCTCTGGTCTCCCAGCTGTGTGATCTTGGCCAGTCCTTTATCTGTCTTCCTCTGAGCCCAGTTTCATCCTTGTGAAAAGAGAACAGTAACCCCTATTAAATGCTGGTGCGCCGTGAGTATTAAACGAGCTAGTATGTGTGAAAGGCCCCAGC